CGAAGTAGAGTAGTTTAGTAGGGTCAGATGATCCTCCTGATCCACTCTACGTCAAATTTGGGCCCCAATGTTAGACGCCAGAGTCGTTTGAATTACCACGCACTTCGCCGCGCAATTTGCCGCGCGAATCCTCGGACGCACGTAAGTACCCATACCCCAGTACATACAGCAGTGTTCGGGAATAATTTGTAAGTTCTGCATAATGAAGAAATGGCTATTCGGCTTCAAAGACTATGCATGACTGAGTGTAGGGTAATGTAGCAGCCAATTCTGGACATGCAGACTACTCGTAAATTTGAATGGGTGTGCAACAAATCGTGCAAGAAGTAGTAGATGCTTCATAAGATCAAAGTGTTAACCCGCATCATTGACAAAGAAGCCAACCATTCTAGTTACATCCTAAGACTGTTAGCGAAATTCCCTATGACGAAGATCAGCATATGAATCCAGCGCCAGCGCAATCAATAAGCATAGTATGAACGGGCAGCCCGATAGGTTTTGTAGAACCTTGAATACCACCACGTTTATCAATGGCGGGAGACCAAACCTTTCACAGATCAGTCAAAACAGACCCCGTATCGATTCGAAGTCATCGCTTAATTTGAACTTTATACCCTTGCAGAATTAAGCTCTATTTGTGAACAGGTCTACCTTCCGTTGATTCATTCCTGAGCCCCTGATTCAGATCAAGAAGGTTTGAAAATTTTTACATTCAATTTTGAATCGCACTTAAATACACCCTAATAGGTCCATAACTTCCAGTTCCCTTCCATTGAATCGCTCCACTCCATTCCTGAATCCCTTACTCGGACCTAGTTCCTGCGCCAGAATTGACTCATAGAAATGCCCTTATTAATCGATTTCCTTCAAAGCCCTTTTCATTGAAAATTTTTCACTTCTATTCAACTTTATAGTGCAAATTAATGCCCTTTTCACCATTCGCGAGTCGCTTAGGAACTCATTCAAATGCTCCCGAAGCCTTTTTTTCTACCATTGACATAGGAAAGGCTTAACAGGGCGAGGACGCCTTCATATGACAAATTAGCTCGAATAACTTTTATTGTTGTTCACTTCCGCCCTCTTATCTGGTCTTCTCACCACTCTCTGTTGCTGCCCGTCCCCCCCACCCACTCATGAAGATTGTTGTAGAAACAACCGAATGCCTAACAGAACGTATTTCCGCTTCTAGAAGAAGAATCGAACAATCATTCAGTCCTCTACGAACAACTCTACCGCTTTCAAGCGGAAACTTAAAAGAGCTTAACGAACAAGGGAAAGAGTAAGTGCTACAGAGGGGAGGTAACATTTCTTTCTTAACACTCGAGTTCGAAGGGCTTGAATGTCTAGTTTTCAACCAAAATTATTCAAGTGGACGCTTTCAAGTGGACGCTGAAGGAGGGTACCTTCAGGTACTCCCTTTTTCTGTAGAAATCGTAAACGTCCTCCAATGACTTGGAACTACACTTTAGATCAATTCTCCCCAAGACGGAAATGCGATGATCCCTCATGAAAACTAATAAATACGTCGCTTTGTTTTTGGAACAAAAGATAGGCCACTCATTAGGAAAACGGCGTAAACAACAAACTATTAGCTTCACTATCTCATTTCATCATAACAAAATAGGAAATCATCGAATTACTCCCATAGATTACTCCTTATTTAGATTTTCTACGCGGAAAATAGGCGAAGGAAAATCTAGCGGTTAAACGGGCCCGAATCAAAACTCTCAAACATGAACGTGAATCAACGAATCCATAAAGATACTCAGATGAATGTCTCCCGATTGCATTTCGATCCCTCCAAAAAAGAGTTTTTGTCCAGAAACAGCTACTGACTTGCAGCTCTCCCTTGCTTTGATGTCGTCGTGTTTTCTCAAGGCAATGATCGCCAAAATGACTGATATCTCCTCTTGTGTCAAAGTCTCTGGGGGTGAACCCCCTCTCAGCATCCGCGACAATAGCAGTTTGGAATGACGAAAACAAGTATGTATGTCACTTGCAAAACAGATATGTAACATATATTTTATGTTTGTTTACTTATGTAAACATGTTTCCCTACTAGAGAAATATTATAAACAAAGTATGTATCGACTGATTAAGCGGAATACGCCACGCTCTCGACTCCCACTTCAAACTCACATGAGAACTACAATTATCCCCTTCAAAGACTCATTTTGACTCTAGTCATAAACCCATGTATTCCTCGTTCTTCCTGACCAGCTTAATGGCATCATACCAGTCTCGGAAGGCTGAGTAGCTTGCTAGAGTGTTAGGTCGCTATTCTAATGAGCGATGTTTTTCCTCTCCCTTCGCGTACTTTGTGAAAACCAATTCCAAAAAGGACACCTCCCGTGAGAATAACTCCGTCATTGCTTTTCAATGGATCCACCCCATAATCTGGACAATGACCTTTTCCAAACGATTCGATTATTCAGAAACAAATTTCCGCTCAACACGATTGAGCTCAGCACATCTGTTCTCTCACCCGACTACATTACTGGTTACGCACGTGCAAAACAATTCCATTACCGTGCAGCTAATAATACCATTATTCGGTTACGTAACTCGATAACAAGAAAGCCGTAAATTTCGAACAAAGGCTTGCCAAACACCTTGTCCCTCATATGGCCTCAACTCGAACCTAATGACTACCCGTCCGGAGAGCTAACAGCTCTGAAGCACTCCTGTAGAAACGGATCTTGCCCGAATGATCTTAATCTCCCCTTTCGATGATTGACACCAGCCTATATAAGAAGATAACCGATGATTTAAAGACATAGTTCACTATAATTTTGAAGGACTCGTTTCTATTAATAAATATGGCTCCTCAAAAGTAGGGAAATTAGAATTTGGACGAGATTGCCATGGCCGAAATAACATGGAGGGGGTATTCGGACGAGATTTTAGTTATTGCAACTGCACAAAGAGCTGACATGTGAAGCCAGAACTATACGGAATTGTCTTTCACTGTCGCTATGGGTGATGACAAGTTGTTTGAACCTCCTACATGGGTTCCCTTGCGATCAGTGCAGCCTCTAAAATGCCGGTGAAACTCGTTCAAGGATACACACAGGCCAATCTTTGAGCTTTTATATTTCCCTAACTAGGCCGCTTACCGACCTAATAGTGTCAGAGTGGGCCTCAAATTCATCCTGTGGGGGAAATTCAGAAACCATTTTTAACGTGAACTGTGCATTTAACGTCTAGAAACTTTTGTACAGAATTGAAACATATTCAACGGATGCCACGACCGAGGGTCAATGTCGAATCCAAGGCGTACTAGAAAAGGCAAAATTAGAACTCGACCTGGTATCATGCCCTGGTTAGAAGACTGCAGACGTATTGTCTTCAAAATTGGAGAGTAAACATCCAAGCAGGAATCAATGCAGAGATCTCGAAAATCATAGGTCTCCCAAGGCCAATCTCCCGTCCACCCTTAGCCGAATGTGGTCGAGCGATATGTATCGATAATATACAAGAAATGCTATGCATTTTAAAGCTATTTTAAAGCTCTGAGAGTTTTTCATGACGCCCCTCAGTGCAACTTCTGAAGAACTTCGGAAAAAACCCAGAAATCCAATTTCTTCGTTCTCCCTCTCTCTTGCTTAAAAAAGAGAATGAGAAATCGCCATGAGAGAAAAACCCAACGATGGCGAATTAACAATTCCACACTCTGTAAGAGCTGAAGAGAAAGCTCGTTGCACTTTTTCTTTCGATGACATTTTCGAATGATTAACTATTAGTAGCTAGAACCAGATGATGACAGATTATCTGCTATTCATAGTCGTATTCCTAACGCGAGCGACGTTCCCATTAAAGATTCCGTGCCTTCTCTGAACATCTGCTACCGCGATCGGAATCTCACATTATACCTCGGCGCGGGACAGGAGTTTTTCTACGACTACAGGTTGGAGACTGCTCTACAACCGAATGATTTATTCGAGACAATGGAAAGGCTCTACACCCCACAGGGAGGTCAAGATACCTCGTTCATCCCTAATCTCCTTCGGAATCTGAAGGACAGAGGAAAAAGTGTTTACCCTAGATGGCTCACCTGACATTGCCGACACCCGTTCAGAATCATAGGGGCATTTGTCTATGTATCTACGAGCCAGTCAGACAATTTTGGTACCCGTGGAACGGCTTCGCAAAGAATAGGCAATAAATTCAGTTCCGAGCTCGGACATGAAAAATTGATGGTCATACCCGTGCCGGGGATCTTCATAGCTAATAATTCACCCGCCCACTGACGTTGTCCATATCCCTCGGTTAGCACATTTGTGTGCCTCGTTCAACGATGTCTCCAACAGGCACAGACACCCCAGCCAAAAACCAGATGTAGTGCTACACTATCTTCCACTGCTCTGATTCATCTGATAATTAAGTTAGTTTGCACTTTATCGATTAGGATCCCCCCTCACTCTGATCAAATCAGGATCCATTTGAAAGATTATTTAAAACTACGAGATATTGCTTATCTACCTTATTTTCTACTTTAGTTTCAAAATTATTACAATCAGATCCAAGTAGCGAATAATTTTGAGACCACTAATAAAAAGCAACCAGCACTCTGGTCCAATTTCCAAAGAATTTTCTTCTTTTTGACAATTCCCGACTTCCCTTCTTTCTCTCGCAGCTTTCCTTTCAATAAAATTTATAATTTGATTCCAATGCTGATTTCCTTCGCCTCTCTTACATAATTAGATTTGCAAAGTAACTACAAAGAAGGCAGACGTTCATAGCAAAAAAAAACTTGTACTTTCATACTATTGATCTGCCGCACCCGAACGAGGATCAAACTTAGGGTGACAGTGGGAATCGATGTTCAACAACAGTTTTTCTCCGTCAATTCTTACTCAACTTGTTCTCTGCTAATGAAATTCGACCTCTTTTCAACCTCAACACACTTTTTACCATACCCATCACATTACTCGAACCAGAATTTTCGTTTTCCTTCAAATCAGAACGCCTTTGTCGATTGATCGAGAGTTCTTGGAGGTTCCGGACTACTGCTGAAAAGTTTTTGGGGAAAAATCTTCTTATCATATTTGCTCAATCTCTATTACAATCTAGGGCCCAAGTGGCAAGTGGCGCATTACCATAGTGGTCCACGGATCGAATCCAGGACCGAAATCCACCCAGGCCACGGAGCCATCCATCCAACCGGGGTAGGGTAAGTGGTGTCAGGCTCGCTTGGGTGGCTGAAAGCATTAGTACATCGGCTGGTCACCTCAGTCGCTGTATAGGCCGAATCCGCATTCAATGTGCCACTTCATTGAGAACGGGAGGCGGGAGACGCATTCCATAACGGGATTGATCACTACCAAAATCATTCCTTGATGTTAAGATCCGTAATATATTAGCCCATGTTACGATCTTTGCCCATAGGTGCCTGGTGATAAGACTAGATCCACATTATCTGGATCATCACTGGCATAAGGCGAATTCGAAGGGATGACTATAGCCAAATGTTTAATCCACGAACCGCACAACACGCTTGACAATTGCAGATGCATCTTAAAGTTTCCCTCGGAACCGAAAAAGAAAGACTGAGAGTACCACATTCTCCCATGTAGGGCTCATCATCTGAGATTCTTTCTAATTTCACATCTATGACATCCCGAAATCTTTTTTTTTGAAAATCCTCCCCTACCTTTCTTCTAGAAAACTCCCAAAACCAACTACTTACACCTCTTGCCAATCTGGAGACAAAACTGGTCCCGGAAACAGCAGAAAACCTTACTTTACTACCAAAAGGCTTTCTATAGAGTACTTAGCAGATCGTTGAAAGAGTCTATCGTCCATAAGCCACCATAAGCAACTATCAACTCCAAACTACTATTATAGCAGCAGTCCGGAGTTGAAAAATGCTTTTGGTGATTTATGGATGATTGCACTTTCGACACGACAACATTTTGAGAGAGCCAAAAAACTTTGCGCTGCCAACTTGTTGAGGAGGAAATGTTCTCCAATTGAGCCTCAAAATTATTCGAAGCATGGAGTAACTTAAGGGATAAAGTAGAAGAACAAAAGAGCCAGCGCCATCCTTCTTTCTGGCGCGCGCCATACATCCTACCTACTCTTAAGATGCAAAGGTACTTAACTGGGTACTAATAAAAGTCGAGTACTTGATTGTATACCTGCTCAAGGGAAAAGGATAAAGTCGATGGGAAAAGTCGTATCCCTCACGTGGGACCAATGCCACGTGAGGGATACGCCACCGCATTCGACTTCCGTTCAGGATCCCAGTGGCATATTGAATGCGTATGTGGCCTAAACAATGAATGACTTGTGGTGGCCGGCTGATGCAAACTCGGCGGTTTTATCCTCTCAAACGAATCTGGTGCTGAGTAACCGACATCGAAGGGATGGAAAGCCTGATTAGCCTAAGCGAGCCTCGAACCGAGATTCGAACCCGTGACCATGCGTGTGTGATAGTGCGCCACTTGCCACTAAACACCTGCTTATGGACGACAAGTGTCAATCAGTGTTCCTTTTAATGATAACGAAGCTGATACCTATCTTTGAAAGGTATGTTTAGCTGTACAGCGGACCCGGTTGGCTGAGATTCCAGAAAAAAAGGCACCTCTAAGGTTGCATTTCGCTCTTTCCATACAAGCCATAAATACTTTGCAGTTATAATAGAATTTTATTGACCATTACCATACATCGGACCAGGATTGCCGTCCCCTTCTTTCTTGTCCTGGAGTCATCTTCTTCACTCGCTACACACAAAAGAGCTCATTTACCTGGTGCAGTAGGTTCCGGCAATCGTAGGCGTTCAGTAATTGCATGCATTTCAATCGGCGTGAATTCAAAGTATTTCGGCGATGATTCACTGCTTGTCAACCATTCGTCTCCGACACCGCCAAGTCGTACAGATAGATCATCTACTATTGAGTGGATTTCCTGAAAATGACAATTGAGTCTCTCATTGTCAGCTCCACTTCACTTCCTACTTCATAACTCTTTCGAATACCGTGATCAAACGACTTTCTTTGCACATGAATAGGTCCCTTGTAAACCCTGAGGGATGCTATTCTTTTGTAAAACCCAGATCCAAGTCCTGCACGAAAGCACTATGTAAAAAACGCATTTGCGGCAGAGACGTGGCAAAATCTTTTCCGAAAAGAAGGCAGCAGCACGTAGGCCACGTGTCTTGAAAAACCTCACATTTTGCGCTTTTTCTTCGCCCAATCAAAACATTATTGCTCTGGTGCAGGCTGTTTTTAGCCGAGAGATCCGATCTGCACGTTTAAATCGATCCAGAGACTGTGCAGGCAAGAAAAACGTTTTCCCCATTACACTTCCATCCTAAGCCTAATTGATGGTACATGTGAGCTAGATGGATGTGCGCGAGTGTGGGCTACTCTATGGCCCCACAATGACAGCCCTAAATTGATCTGAAAGGACATCTGCTCAGAAGGCAGGGTAATCGAAAAAACGTTTTGACTGGGTAAGTAAGTAAATTGCGGAATTCTTAGTGGGGGCTTGTGAATAAACCTTATACATTGGCTCCACAGTTATTTCATTTTTACAGGCATGTACCATACGTCAGCTCCAAAAACTGAGGGGGACCGCTAACGACGGCTCCCTTTATGGCTAAAAGGTTCTCTTTGTTACGATAACCTAGCACATCCTTCTTGTCGCGGTCGCTAGCGCTCATTATAAACGCATCAACCGAAAGGCGCCATGTCGCGACCAGGATGGACAATCCTTTTTAATTACACCTAGAATGATCACCAGCCAACGCATAATTACCGAATGTGACCTCTCGCTAAGCGAATATCCTTGCCTGCCCCCCTCAATCCATTTGAGCGAATTTGGAACCTCACGAATGTCTAAATCGTAATGAACCTTTGAATGGGGTCGAATAGGGTACGGTAAATGCACCGTTAAAATACAGTTCCAGTTGTAACTGGTTTGCAACCAGATCCTGAATGACGTTTTTGCTGCTCATGCACCCAATGGAATGTCACCAGATGGTTATGTCAGTCGCGTAGACATGTGATTGACGTTCGGTCGACCCTCTCGAACCCAACAATGCTCGTATGGAGGCTATCGTATGACACTTCACTCCCACAGTCGTCAGTCATAACGTAGCGTCTTACGTTCATAACGTCCCCTAACGTCGCCGCAATTCAATACGCCTTCACTAATGGCCACGAGTAATCGAGCGCCCCGTGGTATTCCTTCTACTCAAGCACGTCTGGGAATTGAGGCCGCTAAGGGCGAGATTACTTGTTCGCTCATAATTCAATAGATTAAGCTATGGAATTGGCAAATGCCAAATAATTTCCTCTGTTATGGAACATTCCAATTAGCAGAGAGGTTCGAAACTACATTTCCAGCCCTTCAGTTAAAAAGGTATGTCCCATAACAGAGTGCGCATCTTCACCACTTTTTCGTTTCGCTTTTCCAAAGCCTCATTTATTCGACGACAAATTGAATTTCTGGCTATCGTCGTTTTTCGGTCACTCATTCCTCTTCAAATGTCCATGTCCAGTCTTTGAACAAAGCTTCGTCTATTCCATCCTCTTCTCACAGTATTCCGATGACATTCGACAGCTGCGATAACTTATTCATTGAACAGCAATACTCTCCAATTACCCCCGCAAATGGCAACCTTCACAATTAAAACGCGCTATTCATCTGGATAGCATCATATTTTGTTTATCGCTGAGTTAGGTAATTGCACGCAGAGGTAATCCTTTATATTTGAGATGATCATGCTTCAAATTACTCCAACTCATTCCAAGTAAAGTTTGAAGTGCAAGGCTTATCCTACAACTTTTTCATGCGAAGGAATTTCACAGACTTCGAGGCACTTGACGTCTACTATAGAATTTTCGAGTTAGAAAGAAATCAGGAGGGACGAAAAGCAAAATCCGGTTCATTCGTTGAAGAATCAGTCGACTACTCCCTAGGATTTTTAGTGCTCCGATTCCTACCATTTGCTTTCCGTTCGACTCCCTAATAATTTTTTAATTCCAATTTTGTTTTTACTCTGCTGCGATACTACTTTCCCCTAATCCTATACTGTAAAGATGACCCTGGTCAATTGTATACGCTTCTCCCACTGTGTGACCCGAAGCCTGCATTACAGGGTTAGCCAACAGTATAACGCCCCGCAGATAACAGATCTTATGACGGGTGTAAGGGCATCGCAAGAGGGATGTAGAGGGAAAGGAGGCGTCAACCTAGGGTCGTTTTTTTCTGAGCAACATAAACAAATAGGAAAAAAAGTGCAACAGGCTTTCAATCGAAAATCTCGCACCCTTCAAATCCCTTGTGCTCTATCCGGTTTTGAAATAAGAGACGACAAAGCTTTCCGTTGGTTTCACAAAATAAATCGAAATTGAAAATTTTGTCGCAAGCCTCCTTCCCCAGCTTTTCTTGAAGACAATTCCTTGCACTTTCTCACCTACCCAATGTACCGTCGGAACAACAAACATCAACTCACAGTCAGAACCAGTCTTTCTTGAATCCTTACCATTAACTTCCTCAGTACGTTACAAAGTTCATGAGGTGAGACCTTTATTAGGCACTACAACTCATCAAATCAGCCATTCTTGCCTTTGAAGGTACGGCATTATTGGAGTTCCACTACGAGCAAAACTTGTTCGGCGTTGACTTTTCCTGTGTGTACTCCTTTACCGAAAATGAAACTCTTTCAGGAACTTTTCGATAATCTATAGGAGTACGCCTTCGAAAATACTTCTCAAAACCCGTCGGAGTCTATGACTCGGCGAAAAATTCACGACGTAATGCGATTGTTCATGGATTCATGCGTAGAGAATCATCATTATGTGCCGAATGATGGGAGGAATACATGCTGACGAGGTCATACATTCACGCGTATGCATTCCGATTCCACTATGATCGTGGAGGCGCGGTGATGGCGCGTGCGTGTAATCGCTAGAAGTGTTGTGTGCTCACCCAATCAACAAGGAATATGAACAGATGGCCGCTTGTCCAGCCGAGCCGGTGGCTCGTCGTTCCGTCGCCAAAATGGCAACACAATCAACCGCCACCACCAACATCTCCAAACCACCAATCTCACAGCTCAGCACACATTCAGGACATGCCCAAGAATGCAGTGCAATCAGGGTGGTCGCCTTGGTGGATTCACCAGTCACATCAGCGATAGTTCTTTCGATCATTTTTACATTTCGTGACGAATTCACATTAAAAATTCTTTCATTTCTAGGATCTCGGTAAAAGCACTAAAACTCTTCTTACATTGGAAGCATTAGCCGTGACGACTCTTATTACCATGTTCTTACGTCAGTAAATTTCGGCTCTATTCAAATCCATAGTCAGCAACCGAGGCCTAATGCTTCAACAATCTGGGATTCTTCCAAGCATATGAAGACGTCCCATTCGGAAATCACAAAATTAATGATACATTTCCTTACAGAATGGTGTTAAGGCTCAAAACAAGGCTTTCGTCGGACGAAAACTTCCGCATGGTAAAGATGGGATTGCGGCATGGATTGAGTGGAGTTCCTCAACCCTGGCGACTTGGTATCGTTTCTAAATGGAATCGAAGAGAGCTTGTTCTGAAAGGGGACCCCAATAGGGACGGCCCTCCTTGACCATGGTCTAGTTCATCATGGCTCTTGACATCGTGTTTATCCCTTTGCTGCCCTCTTGCAAGCTCTCATTTCCAGGACTCCACCATGTTTTTTGAAATCCTCTTATTCATTCACACTTCTTACATCACGTTATCGCATGCACTAGTTCCTCATGAATGAAGCAGAAGCCATATCGAAAAATGTAGTTTTAATCAATGAAAGGAATGCACTTTAAAAAACTCCCATCGATCCCCTCGAAATCGGTACTACAAGACTTAGTCAACTAATATCGCCGGGCAATTCTATATCATCAAGCCCTTTTTTTTGGCCCTAAAAGAATCCGGCCAGTAGGAAAACAGGAACCAATTCAATTAAGTAAGGGATACGCGCTATTGACCAAGAGAGAGCTTTTTTCTTTCGACTACGATTTCCTCGACTCGTTCAAAGTCGTCCTTACATGACCGTTAGCTACTAAAAACGACTAGAGACAACAGTGTGCGGCGCACTAATCTCCCGAATGCGTTCTCTTTCCCATATTTGAGTAGAATGACTCTGAAAGGCTCGGTCCGAAATATGTACCAGATCACATTCCCAAGCAAACATGACTATTACAGAAAGTGGGGTCGAAAAAAAACACCATGGAGAACTACTCAAAACATCCACAAGTAGAGTTTGCGAGCGCTGCCATTGCACCGATTAGAAACCCGATCCAGACAACAGTTTGAAGGGACCACGAAACCCACTGAGGTAGATATTGAAGGGCTAATGAGCTCAACGAATACTATTTCCCGCCTCATTTGCTAACGAAGCCTTCTAGCCACTATTATCGTTGTTATTGCAGACGCTTCGCTATTTTTAGCTATCCTGATCAATTCCTTTCTGTTTTGTTGTTTTCAACATAGATCTCCCACGAAGTAAAGCTGAGCTAAAGAACATGAGACGACTTCCAAAGATAACTCCCCTCTGGCCGAGACAAATATTGCGACCCATGTGGGAGTCCCTTAACGGACGTTTCCGAATGAACCCCAGAGCATTTTAAAATCGCCCGTTCGCTCAAGTCCCATTCTCAGCTACGCTCTATGATTATTGAGGAAGGTGGGACTGCGTGAATTAGCGGTGGCAATTGGGTGCGCTGCCTTGGTATAATGATAATCACAAATTGCATAGTATATGATGCGTGCAATAATTTGCGGGGCAGATGGGCAGTGTTTACCTGTACCAGTCGTACGTTAGCCTCGAAACAATGACCACAACCTTCCACCTAGATCTCCAGGTTCGACCAAGCGGGGGTATCACAAGGTCGGTATCACAAAACGAGAAGTTTTCGAGATCCCCATTAGTTCTAACCTGGAGAGATATTGCAAAGGCGTTGATCGTCGTTTCCACAGCAACGTTTACAAAACAAGCCAATGGGTTATTATCAAAATTGCGACTATACCGTAATGAGAATGAGGAAGTTATCATTTAGATGAGGGAAGGGAGAATAACAATAAATATAACTGAATCAGGAAGTTGTCCGGATGAGCGTCGTTTCGGTTGCTTTCCCAGAATTGCTTACCATTATCTCAAAGAGAACTGAGCCTTTTTGTAAAAATCAATATTGTAAGCTTCACCAAATGCTCTGAATTATTTATGTGTTTATCTGAACCTCCACTGCATTCCAAATGTCAATACCTCCTCGCGAAATCGTTCGAACAAACTTTTTGCTGTTGAAAATTTTATGAACTTTTTCCAGTATACATTGGCCTCGTATGCCTTCTTTGCTGACTATTTAACCTCTTGCCGCGTTCTCAACAAAAACCTGGTTTAGTTGAAATTCCTTGAATATTTTCTCTTTCAATAGTCTGAGTGCCTCCTTTTTGAATAGGTACTCAAACCCTGAAAGCAATTGCGGGTCTCCGGTAGACGGATATGTCATTCACCTGCGTTTTGCCCTAACCACCGATCAAAGCTCACTGTTGTTCGTTGTTGGAGTAAATTATAGTAGCTCTTTTGACAAATGATCATTTCACTCGATAGAACTGAGCTTTTTACTTATAAACCTACGTACAATGAGCCTTTGGCGAACTTTTAAAACTTTCTGCTGAGCTCATAGAGGGGAAAGTTCAGACCAAGGACGAGCCTGGCTCCACGCCCCTTCCGTTTTCCGGTTGCTTATGCTTTTCTCCAAAGCCCTCCTAGTTGATTACTGTTCTTGGTTTTTGGTCTAAGCTACATTTTCATTTCATGTGAACCCATAACTTCCATCATCTCGTGCTCATAAGAGTCGAATTAAGCTCCACATTGCTCGTGCATGCTCAAAACAACGATGGGTTACGGGAACATCATTAGTCGTCCGCTCAGTCGCTTCGTCAGCGACGGCGACGTTTGAGCAGCAGCGAATTCGTTCGTTACTCTCCACATCTGCTGCCTCCACCACATTGAGGCGTGGTATCGCTCTGACCTCATGTCCCTCGTTCGTCGCGTTCCCCTCTTCACATACTACACGCATCCACACACATAGACATTTCTTCGTTTTGAATGGATAGCCAGCCTCTCAATATTCGCGTTCGTTCTGGCTCGCTGCCAAATTAGCACTATCCTCTTTTGCGCTGCCGCGACACCATCACTGCGAGCCATACCCTCCTCCATCCTCCGTTCGTTCTATTCAAAACAAACACCACGCCTTTTCTGAGCAGAACAAATCGAAAAAACTACTGACGCCGTTCCAGCCGATCACCTCCGTGCCGACCATCGACGACGACCACGATCTGTGCCGGATTAACGTCGGCTAGTTTTCACACTACTTACTCGCACACGTTCTCCTCGTACGCCATACTCGTCTATGGATCAAGGAGGTGTTGTACTAACTATTTTACTTTATTCTACTTTTATTTTCGATTGAACTACTAATCACGGTATCGCTAGCACTGTGTTTCCTGCCCCTATCTATCTTCTGCGAATTTTTTTTTTCAATCCTTTGCGACGTACACTTCTGAATTACGATAGAAGGAATTCATTCTTCGTCATCGTTCGGACAATCATTCGTTCGAAACAGCTAATCAACGCCATTATTCAGTGCTATGCTTTACGACTTTCCAATTAGTTTATTGATCCGTCACTACTGCCATTTACTTCTAGAAAGGGGTGGGGAGAAGGTGGCGTAACATAGCGACTGAACACTGGCCGTATACGGTCATCTATTTGTTCCACAGCACTGCCTTCATCAGAAATTCCATTTATTGATATTTCTACCAATCTGCTCGAATAAGCCGTATCTACGACTATTCTTCAAATTTGTTAAGGTCTTGAAGTACCCTTTGATTGAAGTATTACAGAGTAGTATCAGAGGCGATATGCGAGAGCTCAATAGAGCTTGGCAAGTTACCATTGATGACTCTTTCACTGCAAAGTTTTCGATAAACCTATTATGTGACTATCGAAATTTTACATCCAACTTGAAGAGTTGAAGACAGGAAGATTTCTTGAATTTGTCATTCAGTAACCTAAAACTTACTTTTGCTTCCTCCCTACAGTTTTTGTACATCTCATATGTCTGAAGGCCTGAGCAATTCATTGAGGTTAGAAATATGAGCACGACATTAAGAAATAGAAGTAGCATTGAGATTCGTCAAAGGGAAGTGAGTAAGCGCACTAGAGGACAATACCCATGAAAATAACGGCATTGGAGAAAGAGGAGGTTGTTACAAGAACACCTGAGAACCCCAAATGCTAATTCCCATCCCTTTCAAACCTGCTACAAAAGATCATTCAAGTGAATTTCTAAGGTTCTCCAGGATTGATCATTCAAACCACACCCCGAAAATCAATCGATACTGCTAGGTTCTTGAGCAATTATAACTCTGTGAAACACGACTTCATGTTTCCATTTTCAGACCCAACCCAGTTTTCCTTTCTTTTGAGAACTATCCAGTCTATTACCGCCTTCGTCAAACCGTTCCCATATACCCATATATAGACACTTCAGTAAACTCAAATTTCCCTCATAAGGAAAAACAATCGTCAGGCCTTTATGGCAAGCACTCAATATAAAGTGTTCAACGCTCTCCCTCTCTCAGTACCGTACATTGGCCGCACTTTATGGAGCAGACTCGTACATTGACATTGTATCCACCACATTGCGACCTCATTGCACCAACTACTGTTCAATTATTGGGGCCAAAATGGTGGGATGGAGGCGTCTGTTCATATATTTACTCTGGGTCATCATTGTCCACAATCTAATCCGTTACGTAGCTAAGCTTTCACGAAAATTGCTCATTTGTGTCTGAAGGGTACACTAACCAATTAATCCGTTCTGGAATGAGGCCGGAGATCGAATTCGTTCCTCAGGAACTTCTATCTCCCTATTTCCCCTCTGAAACCCCATAGTTCAGACTACCAAAAGTGAAATCACTCGTTCCGCTTGGAGGTTCGCCATAAAGCTAAGCAGCAACTTTTTACGCTAACGTGGAATGTGCCGAGCAGTTTGACTAGACTTCAGCTTTCCAAAAGCAAATAGTCTAAGAGTTTTCCGCTTTTGAAAAAAGATTAGCAGCCATCTCAACTCCTCCTAAAGCTTTCCTTCCCTCTTATAGCTCTTTCGTGGAGACCTACCTTTCACTGGACCCTTTCATACCAAACTATTACTCCACTAATACACTCATACTTTTGTTTTTGCCTTCCTTCACGAATATATTATTCATTTTCATCAAAAAGTACAACTGCTGATGTCCTTGATGTCGATTTCTAGGGAAGCACGCCCATTTTCAGTAAGGCTTTCTCCTGAGCCAACAAAATAGACCAGGCTT